ATATATTTTTTTACAAATGATCAAATTTGTAATTACATAAAAAAATTACAACTTTTTTTACTGAAATGGCTAAAACTAAATAAAACAAACAAATAAAATTGAATAAAAACTATATACAGTAAAAAACTAGTAAAAATGACAAAACTGCACAACAAAATTAAAGTGAAAACAGATATTACATAAAAGCAAAATATTAATGAAAAATTATTAAAATATATTAATTATATTAAGTTATATTAATTATATATACTATATTTATTTATAAATAATGAAATATAAAAACGTGTAAGTACTGAAATAACTAAAACGTAAAAAAAAAATGAAAATGAATAAAAAGTCATTAAAAAGTCATTAAAAAGTGAAAACAGAAGATATTAAATAAAACCAAAATATTAGCAAAAACTATAAAAGTATTTCAGTGATACTAAAATCAGATTGCGCTGAATTAGTTGGGTTGCACATGCAGTCAGTCAGAAAATCAGTATTATTGGTGCAGTGAAGGCATCTGCACGCACCGTTCCCATTTTACACCCATGTGCACTTGGATGTGTAATGTTCCAGAAACAATAACAGCTGCTTCTGAAATCATAGAGCTTAAAAGATGAAATACTGCTCAGATGGGTAAAACCAGAGCCTAATGTGACCTCATCTGTACTGTCCACACTAACAAGGGCGTAGGTTTGATTTTGGCATTTGTGGGGCATAACGGCAGACAACAGACATTTAACTGTTTGATTAAAATTATTGCTAGGGACAATTTAGTATAGTGACTGATACTGTTAGGGACATGTCATAGTGCCTCTGCACCCTTGGACACCAGACAGATCCGACTCACAGCAGACCAAGACACTAAAGTGCTTAATGGACCATCAACAAATGATTAGTTCCACCTGACAACCGCTTTGCAACACCCTAGAAACCACAAACAATATGTACTCACCCTCAGGCCATAAGATGTAGATGAGTTTGTTTCTTCATCAGATTTGGATAAATGTAGCATTGCATCACTTGCTCAGCAATGGATGCTCTGCAGTGAATGGGTGCCGTCAGAATGAGAGTCTGATAAAAACATCACAAGTAATCCACACCACTCCAGTCCATCAGTTAATGTATTATGAAGCCAAAAGCTGTGTGTTTGTAAGAAACAAATCCATCATTAAGGTGTTTTGAGGTGCTTCCGGCTAAAATAAGAATCTGTAATAATGCTTCTTCCAATGAAAAAGTCCATCTCCTGTTGATTTCCCACATCAAAATCCACCAAAGTATGTGTTAAGAACTGTTTTGGATTGGTCTGATTCAGACAAAACAACTTTTTCACTGGAGGAAGCGTTACTATGGATTATGGACTTTTATTTTAACCAGAAGCAATGGCTGGACATTAAAAGTGGTTTTGCTTCTTACAAACACGCAGCTTTTCACTTCACAAGCTCATTCAGATGATCCTGCAGATCTAAAACATCAGGTGTTTACTTCACTTTCTCGTTTCTCTTCCACATCATTTCCCTCCAACTTTTAATAGAGTTTCTGCATGATCCAATCCACACCTGTAGTGTCTCCTCTCCTGGAAGAAACCTGACCAAATACATCAGACAAACCAGTGAACATTTTGCTGGGTACCAACAGAGCCGTCAAAT